GTTGTGCATCACGTATAGCATGACATTTTGCATTAAGAATTAACTATAAAAGAAAAAAGAAAAAAATTATATTGTTTTTGTTTTTTTGATTTACAAAAACAAAAAAAAAAAAGAAGAATTCTAAAACGAACTTCATTAAGATGTTTAACTTCATCTTCTTGTTCTTGTCGAAGTTCATTAGCTCTTTTTAACATATATTCAGCTTCTTCTTTTGCTTCTAAATCAATATCTTCTAAAGGAGCATTTTTTTTTCGTTGTTGATCATATTCTTGCATTGCTTTTTTACGACGATTAAGTTCTTCCTATATCAAAGAAATATTATTTTAGAGAAAAAAATAACAAACTGAACATACTTCAACTGAATCTCTATTTCGTTTTGATTCTACAATTTCATTTTCACGTATTTCTTTTGGTCTAAATTGAGCTGCATGAGATAAACGTTGATATGTAGATCCATCAATGATAACCGACGTACACGTTGGATCTTCTGGAACACTATAATAATATAAAAATAAATAAATAAATATGATCTTTTTTTTTCTTGTTTTATTTATAAATTTACATAATATCTCGAATAAGATCTTTTGTAATATGCCTAATAAATTCTTTTTTAACAGATCCAGGTTGTTTTGGTTGATTTTGTAATGTTTTTTCTTGATAATCTTGATTTTGTTGACGTTCAGCTCTCATTTTTGCAGCTGTTGCTAATCGATGTGGTGTACCAAATAAAGTTTCATCAACTTCTGATTGTGCATTAAGAGTACGATAACGATAATTATTTCCATTACGTTTTCCATTTGATGATGATGAACCATTTCCACTATGGGAACCACCTGATGTTGATGCTGGTGACATTTTCTTTTCTAAAATAAGAAAAAACAACTTTTTCCTCAATTGAAAATGTTTGATTCTCCAATAGCCATGAACCATGTTTTGTATCCATGGTAACACCTCTATTCGTTCATTAATTAAATATTCATTTAGGAAAAAACAAAAAGATTATTTTTAATAAAACTAAAATAAAAAATTTAATTTATAAAATAAATTTCTAACGAAAACAAAAAATATTAATAATAATAATTAATAGAATGAGTCATAAAAAAATAGTTACGATTTTTCTTTCTTTCTTGTTTAATATAGATTTTCATTCTATTGTCTGTCTTTAGTCAGATTGTCTTAAAAAACAAACAAAAAATGCCAATAAATGCATTTCAACGTATATTTGATTTTGGTTCAAAAAAAGATGATACAAAAAATATTTCATCATCCGATGCAATTAAACGTTTATCTGATGTTGAAGAAATGCTCAATAAAAAACAACAACATTTAGAATCTCAAATTGAAGAAGAAAAAACAACAGCAATACGTTGTTCAAAACAAGGAAATAAACGTGGAGCTTTAATGGCTTTAAAAAGAAAAAAAAAATTTGAAAAAACTTTACTTCAATTAGATGGAACATTAACAACATTAGAAACTCAACGAGAATATTTACAAAATGCATCAACTAATATGGATGTTTTACATGTTATGAGACAAGCAGCAAGTGCTTTAAAAAAAACAAATCAAAATTTAGATGTTGATCAAGTACATGATTTAATGGATGATTTAGCTGAACAACATAGTGTTGGTATGAATTTTATTTTTTTATATTTAATATTATATAAATATTCATTTTGTTTTTTTTCTAATATTTAAAGCGGAAGAAATTGCAAATGCGATATCATCACCAATTGGTTCATCAGATTTGTATAATGATGCTGATTTAGAACGTGAATTAGAATTATTAGGTGAAGAAGAAATAAAAGATGATATGATGAAAATTGGACCATTACCTGATGTACCAATTCAAACAACAACAATCAAAACAAATAATCAATCAGAAGAATTACGTCAACTTGAAGCTTGGGCACAATAAACAATATATTTTTAAAATATCATTGCGCAACAATCAATATGCATTTTCTACAAGTTTCTTTTGTTCTTCTTCTATTAACATAATTAGTCGGATTTTTCTTTTTTGTGTATATGTAACTTTTTCTTCCTCTTAACTAGTATATTGTATCTAGCAAGAACAAAGTTATTGAAAGTGCAGATGTATTTGACAATAAATTGTTATGAAATTTCTTAAAATATTTTTTTGTCGTGTTCTTTGAAAGAAAGAAAAATGATGTTATCGAGTGATGAGATCTTTCGATTTAAGATATTTATATCGGTGTGTTTAGATAATATTATACATGAAATACATATTTTATTATGTGTAGTGATGTTATTTAGCTTATTATTATACTTTATTTTATTCAATGTTTACAATAATTCTTATGCATATTGAATAATTTGAGATTTTCAATAAAAATACAAAAATAATATATTTTATTATTTATATATTAGATTTATTATAAGGTAGAAATCAAACATCTAATCATTAAACTTCTTTAGATGCCTCTCTTCCGATTTCAAAGGTTTTTCGCCTATATATACAACATAATGTCATAACTAAAACTCTAAAAGGATTCGAGTCTCTATTGAGATTATTTTTTTCTAGATGCCTCAGGTTTTCGAAAAAATCCTATTTTCGAATTTTAATCTAAAACTTTGTCCATAGAGAAAATTCAATTAGACTAATTTACATAAATAAATTCACACATTTTGAACAAAGTCTCTTCGAAATAATGAATCTTTCAAAAAAATGCATGTTGTATAAATTATTCATGGAAAAGATTCGAGATCTTAAAAGTCTCATATCTCAAAGAGACTTTGTTTAAAACTACTAAATTTTGTGGAACTCACATATATTTTCGAAGAAAATAGTGAGTGTAAGTTTTAAGTTCGAGTTTTTAGGGCTCCCCCCACCCCATTACAGATTTTAGCAACCGAGAGTAAAAGAAGTTAGGTTTTCTAGAGTTTTTTTTCGAAAATTGATCAAGTTATAATTTTGAAAGATAATGAATATCATTGTTTGTGACTTGATTAATATATATGATAGTGTGTAAGATCCGCTGTAGATATCATGAATACATAAAAAGAGACTTATATTATCAATTAATTCAATGATTATAATAATGAAAATGTTAAATTAAGAAAAACGATTTAAAAAATAATGAGCGATTAGCAACAATGAAAACAAAAAATAGGGCGACCATTGAAAAAAGTTTTTTAAAAAATTCTGTTCGAAATGCAGAAATTAGAGAGGTTCTTACGCTTGTGATTGATTATCCTGCAAAACAACTATAGTCTAAGAGAGATTTTTCAGTGTAATGTATTTTGTATTAGTTGAATGAGGTCAGAGACCATATGTGAGTTCCACATTTCAGCCCCAAAGGAATTGCGCTAACAAGCTTTTTTTTATGGAAGACTGTCTAGTTTACTTTTCTATATTTGTAAATTTTCCGATTAAAATTCTAAAATCCGAATGCTCTGTAAATCTAGAAAATAGACATATTAAAGATTCGATAGCTTAATCAAATCATTTAAAGGTTTTTATTAGAACACTATTTATTATCTATCGATTAAAAAAATCCTTGAAATCGAAGAGAACTGCCGAATAAATTCTATTATAAGTTATCGGCTTTTATCATACTTTATTTACATTTCAAGTTAGAATCAAATTTTAATAGAAAAAAATATCAAAAACGTTATACTTGAAAAAAAAACGAATTGTGAAATAAAGTTTAAGTAAATAGTTAGTTTTCGACTAGTAGATCTATATTATATTATTAGAAACTATTTTATTAAGTAAAAAGAAATTCTTATTGATTGATTGATCAATATTTAAGATGGAATAGTTTGAAATAAATCTTTTTGTATTATCATAATAAAATCATTGATTTATGTGAAACAACAATACTTCTAATAAAATATGCTTATTGATTCCATAACCATTTTCTTCCATCTGTTTTTCATATGATAAATCAATTCTAGAAATGGTAGAATATGATTGATAGGATAATAGATAAACAATCATTATCGAACAGATCATATGAGTCGGTGTTTTTCAAAAGACTTTTTAATTATAATGCTTTTTTCTTTTACGAGATGAAGACTAGACTAGTCAAAAATAAAAAATAAAAAAGTACATATATGAAGAAATTGACTATTAAAGATGAATCAGATGAATAATATAAATTCATTCTATTATTTAATCTATCTAGCTGATCATCAACAATAATACGCTAATCGATAACGATATATACAAAAATTAATTGAATAGAAACAAAAAAGTTCTATTTGAGACTGATATAAACATTGAATAACTCTTTCTTGTCTGTCCTATCTTGTTATACAAGATACAAGAGATAATGTTCTTATTCAAATCAAAACTATTATTATATTGTCAGCAAATGTTAAGTCAATTATTCCAATTTTTGCTTTTCAATAAAATGATTATTTTCTCAAATAATAATTTATTTAAAATCAATTCAAAGAAGATCTCGTTTAATAATTCGAAATCAATTTAAGTTTGATTTTTTCTTGTTTCACTATTTTGACTCGAAAGAATTCTACTTCGTTACTTTTCGATATAGAGTTGATATAAAATCAATTCATCTAGCGTTATCAGATGACAATTGAAACTTTTCTTGTTAACGTTTTAAGAACTATAAATACACGAATTTTCGTACATGGAACTCGTAAAAATCCATTATGTAATTGTCTGATTTTCTTCTAGTTGCATTTGAATATCGAACATATTTTACCGAATGAATCGGAGACGTAATAATTTTATCTACAGTTCATTTATTTACTATTATTTTGCTTCATTTAGCTCGTTGTAAAATAGAAACAAAATCTAGAAAATGAGTTTTAGTATCCTATCATTGCTTGTCATGTACAACGTCAGGACAAGATAAAAATCCTAGTGTCATTCTATCTTGTACTCTGTTCGGATTTGAAAATAAAAAATAAAAAGATCAAAGTGATGAAATAGTGCGACATTTTCCATGATTTTTTGATTAAAATTCAACAATTAAACTTTCTTCCTGATATTATCTTATCTTATTTATTATATGCAATTAACAATTCGTCTAGTAAATTCTGTTAGTCATCTTGGTTTAACATCTATTTGTCACTCATCATTATTTTCAAATTATTCAGTAGATAGTAGTTCTGTAATAGTTGTATGTATATTTGCAACGATATCTTCTTCAACTGACAAAATTCAATTGTGTATAATTAATTATTTTATTCATTTTTCTTCTTAGTTTTATTTTTATTTTGTATTTTTCAACAGATATTAATCGAAAAATTCGTGAAGAAATCATATCGGATGTTCTTAATTTATATAATTCAAATCCAACTGAAGAATCATTTCGTGATAATACTCTAAATGCACAATTTGAAGATCCATTGTAATATTCTTGAAATATTTTATCAGTTAAATCAGCTTTTAAATCTTTACCTAAAATTTTTAAAGATTCTCAAGTAACTAAAAGTGATGCTGATATATAAATAGAAATTAAATTAAATTAAATCTTGAAACACGTTATGAATGGAAAGGTATTAATAAAGAAACATTTATTCGTTCAATTGTATTATCGGGATTTTTTGGAATAATTAAAAAGATTAAATCAAATATTGAAAAAAAAGGAAAATACTAATGGATATATTTTATTATTTTAGGCATTACGTCATGTTACGGGAGGTCTTGTACATGCAATAATTGATAGTGGAAAATAATTAAATTTATTTATTTTTCTAATTTTATTTTCATCAAGTTTGATTTTTAAATAATAAATCCAGCATTTATATTGTCAATGCAATAAAAAGATACAATTATAATATTACTTTTTTTTTAATTGAAATATTTTATGAAAGTTTTATATTTCATTGATCTTAAATTCAGGTTGAGAAATACTTTGTTCAATCATTTCCCCTCAAACGAGTTTTTATTATTTTACTACGATACTTGGACGTTTGCTAGAAAACGCTATATCATAGTATTATATTAATAACAGATCATAGAACTGAACTTATGAAATGTCTGAAAGAAAATATATGTGGCATAAGTTTTTCAAATTCATATATTTGATATAGATGATAATGGGTAAATACAGAAAAGTAATATCTTTAATGTCTATCAAGCACTCTAATCAGCAAATCTAGAAATGCTATTTCGGACAAAATGTTTGCTGATTTTTGGCCCACTTGACAATATTTCAGACGAGTCGAAACCTATGGATTAGAACCAGAATTTTGTGTTCTTTCTGAATATGGGCTTAGAAATGTTGTGTTAAGTTTTGTTCGAGAGTAGTGAGGGAATCTTTGAAAGGTCTAAAAAAATTAGTTTGGACGGGAAATTTTTTCCCACTTTTTTATATTTTAACTATTGCGATTCGAAACTAAAAGTTGGAACCTTTATTACTCTATCAGCTGGTAGAGCAAAATCTGCTCTACAAAATGTACTATTGGACTTTTTTTGGTTGTCAGGCAAGACATGTCAATTTTCTTTTGTCCTATAGTCTCATTTTTGAGAAATCGACTTTTTGACCGAAAGGCATTTTCCACAAAAAGAAGCTTCTGATAAAATACATATAACTTCACTTGTGTAAAAGCTACAACTTAATGCAATATCACATTTTGTAAATAAGTGTCCGCTCTACAAAATTATCTTGTCCGATAACTTTTAGCATCTTCGAAAATGGATATATATATATATGGGTTAGGAAAAAGCTGTTTATCCGTCGTTCAAATTCATTTTTAAGGCCTTTCAAAGATTCCCTCACTACTCTCGAACAAAACTAGACACAATATTTCTAAGCCCATATTCAGAAAGAGCACAAAATTCTGGTTCTAATTCATAGGTTTCGACTCGTCTGAAATATTTTCAAGTGGGTCAAAAATCAGCAAACATTTTGTCCGAAAACTCTCGACTCGCCTGTTATATGTGTTTAATGAAAGTAATTCAATGTTATCTTCTACTTTTATATTAATATCAATATCTTTTTTATCAACTCATTAATGATTTCTATTCTTAATATAATGTATAGATTCGTTTTGAACCAATGATCATCGTTAATAAATGAATCTAGTGTCTCTGAGGTTTCAAAATCAATTTACATTCAAATAGGAACAATTAATTGCATTGCTATTGGCAAACGATAGCTACTATGTATAAATACATATTCAAAGAAGAAAAATATAATAAAAAAGTCACAATGATTTTAAAAACTGAAGAAATTATATTGGTCACGTGTACATACAGTGAATTATCATTTCAATTAGTTAATAACTATCGTCTTTTAAAATAAGGCTATTCGTAGAAGATCATAACCTTGATATGACCATACCCATAATTACATAATAAATGTTTTTTATTGTATAAAGAAAACTTGAAAACATTCAACTTTCAAGTTAAATCTAATAGCAAAAGAGTATAGTTCGATGTTGCTTTGGAAACTGTAGAAGATTGAAAATATTTTAAGTGTCATCGTATTGATTTCTTTTTTTTAATCAATGAAACTTCCTAATCTCCTATTAATTGATTGTACATAATAAAATATTTATAAAATTGAGATTTGTTTCTTGAAACGAAATGCAATATCGATGATTAATAGATGAGTTGACGAGAAACTCAACGTAGAATATTTCATCACGTGTCTCTTTTGATCATACAAATAATGTCAATTGTACTGAATGATAAAGAAAAATAATGAAATAAAATAAAGATTTTTCAATGGTTTCTCTCTTCAACTACTACATATATAATTAAAAATTTTTGAATAATAAAAATGATGAAAAAATTACCTTAGAAATAATTTCATTCTAAAGTAAAATATTCACAGATATAAATTAAACAAAAAAGAAATTGTTTTTTTTTCGTTGCCATTTGATTATTGTTATGTACACTAACATAATAATTCATCATGTTTGTTATGAACTGTATGCATATCTGACAAAGAAAAATTTGCGTCTAATCTTTTATAGATATTATTTTCACAATAATTCATTGAAACAAAAATATTTTTCATAAAAAAAGATTTCAACTTTCGTTAAACATATTGAGTGTTTATTTTCTTTATTATTATTGTATTAATAGATAAATAAAACTTGTTGTTTTTGAAACAAATAATTAAAATAATGGGTTGTGGTTTATCAAGTAAGACAACAGCAATAACATCGACAACAGATAATGATGAATCTATGCCAGGTTTTTTTTATATTTTTTCAAATAGATTTTTTTCTTTAAAAATTCAATGTTTTTTTTTTTTTTTGTTTAATAATAGATGAATGTGCAACAATATATCAAGAAGACAAAATAAGAAAGATTCTTCCAACTTATTCTGGAAATCGTTCTCATCAATCGTTGGATTATGTTAGTGCATATCCCCAAAGAACAATTACTAGTTCTCATTCATCTATTATTAATCCAATGAGATCTATTTCAAATAATAGTACTGAATTAAATATACGATTAATTGGTGATGTACAAAATGAGCCAAAGCATATATTAAGTCCAATTTGTAGATACGAACATTATCCACTTGTTTCACTTGAAGAAGCTTGTAAACCTCTTCTACCATTTATTAATGATTTAAAACGTTATGTTGGAATTGCCAAACAAAATTCAAAGAAGCCAAGTGATAATCTTACACCAGATGAATCAGCTTCTATTTATTTATATTCATTGGAATGGTCAGATGGTTTATATCAAAAATTAAATATTGATTTACGTCAAGATAAACGAGATAAACTTACTCCATGGTTTTTATATTTAAAATTATTTTTGACAGCTCTTTTTAAATTACCCAATGTCAAAAGTGAAATTATCTGGAGAGGAAATAAAGTAAAATTTGAAGGTTACAAAAAAGATACATATCATATTTGGTGGGCTTTTTCATCGTGTACATTAAATCTTGAAGTACTCGAATCACAAATGTATTTTGGTAAACAAAATAATCAAACTATATTTTCTATTCAAGCATTAAATGCAAAAAATATTCGTAATCATTCGTATTTTAAAAATGACGATGAAATTCTTCTCATGCCTGGAACTTATTTTAAAGTTCTTAGTGAAGGATCTTCATCATCTAATCTTCATATTATTCAACTTAAACAAGTTCAACCACCTCATGTTTTATTAGAATTACCTTTTCAAATAAGAGAACAAGAAGAAGAAGATGATAATGATGAAGGATTTGAAACTGAAAGATCAATTAATAATGGAAAAAATAATATGAAGACTCTAACAAATAGTATATCACAATCAAGTGATATAAGAAGTAAGCTATGTAAACTATAAGAGAAATAACGAAACAATAATTTATAATGTCATTTATTGAAAGAAAGTTTTTATTTAAATTTTTTTTTCTATTATTAATTCAATTAATAATCACTGTTAAATATTTGTAGATTCACCGATACAAGAAGAAAAAATCACATTTACAAAAATTTCAAATGCATTGAATAATCGTTCAAAAATTCCCGATGGTTATGCGGGATTTAACTGGATAAATATTGATTATATTGGTGAAAATTATGTTCGTCGTAATAAACCTGATTGGATGAGACTTTTCAATTTTTATGAAATTATTGCAATAACAAATCATAATGATCATTATCCTATGAGTATGAGTATAAAACAAAATAATGGACAAACTTTTTCTGTTCAAAATATTGAAATTAGTGGTGTTGATGAAAAAGGACAAATTAATATAAATGGATTATTAGACGGTGAAAAAGTGTGCGAAGATAGTATTGAACTTGATAATCAACAAGTTTTAATCATTGATTTAGAATGGGAAAATATTGATACTTTAGAATTCAATGGAAATATTAAAATAGCTATTCATTCAATCAGTTTTTGAACATATTGATTTGGAATTTAAACATCACTCGTAATATCTAGCCAAAAATAACTCAAAGCAATTATCTTAATTGTAGCTATTAACATTGAGAATCGTCTAAAATATTTTATATGGACTTGAATTTGATCATTCTATTATATAATGTAATTTAATAAACAGTTGTTCTATCTTGTTAACATCACACATTAATATTTTATTATATGCATTTTATACATAACTCACAAATATATTGTTTATTCAGTATGTATATATAGTATGTCTCTTTTGTTTGAAATTCTCGTAAAAATTGACGTCATATTAATATTATCATTATATATTTCGACATATGGTTTGTCAAATCAAAAATAGTAGAAGATACAAATGAGTCATATATTGTTAAGTACCATTCTTGTCTTGGTAAAATAACTATAAATAAGTTATTGTATATTGGTGAAAGAAGAATAAATATTGCAGGACTATTAGCTTGTGTGACATACTAGTTTTAAGACATCCTCAAGAATCATCGAGAGTAGGTATTCGTGAGCGTGCCCAAGAGACCTTCACTTCTACCAACAACTACAAATTCTTCTCTCACCAGAGAAATAAAACAGGAATTCTGACTTTAGCAAAACTTCTTTTCCTATATGTAAAACATACTTACTCTTATTTAACTCAACGATTTCAATCGAACTATAACAAAAAAAAATCAAATTTTGCTAAAATTTTCAATTGTTGACACATAAAATACATTGAAAATATGTTAATTTATATATGTGATACGTAGATCATATCTGCAAATTTGTTAGTTTTATGGTATGACCTTTAATTTGATTTGCATATATGTTCAATGTTTTTCCGTTTCAATATATATTCTTATATTTTAACAGTATCAGATTTTATGGAAATATTTTGACATACAAAAGAAATAACTATAAAGGTAAAAAAAACATTCATCATGATATTTCTTCTTTTTCTATAAAAAAAAACTGTTTAATTGACCTCTGGCAAGACTTATTTGATGAATCCATATAAAAAATGTAAATTAATTGTGTTACTGTGATCTTGTTTGTTCTCTTCTTACTTTATTTGTCAATGTCTGACAAACAAAAATCATTTATACTTCGAAAGAATAACTAATAGAGAAATTTTCTTTCAGAATATTTTGTTTTAGTAGAAATCTAGGAAATCTTTAGTAAATACAGAATATATGAAAGTGAGATATAATCACTATTCTCGACTTTCTCATTTATTATGTTCTGAAACTTTTTTTTTTCCTAAAAACTATTTTAATTATCAATGACTCACAAAGAATCATTGATTAATTTAAATAAAAAATCACAAAAATTGATAATATTTTCATTTCAACAATATTCTCTTAAAAGACAAATTTGATCAGTTGTTCAATCTATTCGTAATAATTGAAAAGTATATCAAGAATTGAAAAAGTTTATAGATTAAATTAATGAAAACAATTTTATTATTCTTTTATAAATAATTTGAAATATATTTCTCAAACATCTAATATAATACTATTATTAATGATACAATGAATTTGCTTTTAAATTTGTCCATTAATCATTATTTATCTACAATGTATTTTATGATGAATTTTAAAAAAAAATCATATTTAAAAACTACTTTAAAATTGAGGTTTATTATTAATTATTGTGGATCATTTAATAAGTTAGACTTTTTGAAGACTGTTTTAAAGATATTTCATAATTGATTCTATTTTGAAAAATAAAACCCATTCAACTCTTTCACTCATTGTGACAATAACAGTCAATATGAGAATAACAAACAAAAACTTCATGACTATAAACTATTGACTGAAATCACCGGAAAAATATTTATAAATATTTGTTATCGTTAACAGAAGTCTTTATAAGAAGATCAATAAGAACAAGAAATTCTCTATTTTAATGCGTCGATCTATTATTTGATTAAATAACATTGAATAGTACTGAATATTCTCGTATTGTTCCTAGAAAAAAATTATTATTTAACTTTTATATAATAAAATATTCAACAATAATCTCTTCGTTTGGTTTAGTTTCATAAAATTATTTTTTTTTATATTTTGTTTGGATTACGCCAGGAAAACTAATATGAAAATATTAATTAACTTTTTCCCTATGTGTTAACGAGCTATTGGAAATTTTTAAAAATTTCATAATTTGAATACATTTAATAGATGATTAAAGAAGATCTTGATTTAAACATAGCATTTGAAACTAGAAAAAATTCCTAATCTTTCAAACTCCGAATGATGCTTTCGCAGTTGATTAGAGTATAACTAAATGATGAGTTAAAAAGTAGCATCATGTTCTGTTTCCCAACCTCTTATCATTATAAAAATGTTCTCCTTTGATTTATACAAAGAAAAACAAGATTCTCAATTTCAAGTTGATTTAGAAAATATTTTATCTAATGATATACTTAAGATAAACATCAGCAACAAAAATATGTTTTAGTTAGAAAATATGCTCAAGTATAGTATGAGACAATTGAACTATAAAATGTCACTTATTTTAGTTGTCGAAGACAATACTATTTTTGCTCCAATTTGTAACAGAAAACCTTGACTAGAAAGATTTTTGAAGGAACTCTTAGAGAAATATTACATATCTATCAATAGAAGATATGTTTATATCGACGAAAAAACCAATATCTTATGATGAATGGATGCATCAAATTTCTATGATTGTTATTTGAATATGTTTTTATTTTGTTGATCAATACTTTGAAAAATGTTCAACATTGCTCTGACACTTATTTATCCTGATGAATTATATATATTAAGCTTCTTCATATCCTCAAAAATATTTAACTTTTATCAGAATTATCGAAACGAAAATAAATCCATAATAAGTTAGATGAAAGTCTAATCTTTCATAAATGACATGATTTTTCATTTGACACCTCGTTTTTTTTTTCCTACAATTTTTCATGATTTCTATTCTCATCTGCTTGAAAAATATCCTGTTTTTAGGAAAGTAGGAAATTTTTTTCGTTTTCTATTTATTTATGCTTTTTTTCATAACACATGTCCGAACCCTCGGGAAAAGCTTGATTGTATACAATAATTTTTTTTTCCTTTCGCGAGAGCACATCAAGATACAGGGCATGACAGAATCCCTTTTCTTTTTTAGATAAAGCCTTGTTACTGTTATATAGAAGAGTACTTCTAAAAATAGAACACCAAGTTTTTTTTGAGAGTTTTTCGATACATTGAATTTTTCAGTGATTTTCTCTCTTGAAAAAATAAGAATTTAAAAAAATGACTCTGTTATATCTTACATCCTGACATGCTATGTAGGTTTACATAGAATTTAGGATTACCATAAGAATTATTTTCGACCCTTGTTTCTTGAATATCTATCAAAAATGTCATGATATAAACCTGAAAATCTTACCATTGTATCTTCATTATAGCCTTAAAATATCCTGAAAATTTCATACGATTTGAGTATATTTGATCCAAAATCAATTTTTGAGAGGTTAGAATCCTTAAGAACATATATTATGAAAAAAAAAACACTCTAATCGCTCAAATTCAAGTATAAAAGAATATATTTAGAGCGTAAAAATTTTATTGAAAAGATTTTGTTTTTATTGTTCATCTAATCTTCAAACATTTTTTATGGATCCTACATAAATTTATTAAGGTAATCAAGTGAGATTTAATGGATAAACTTTTTTATATATAAAAACATTACAAGGTCATCCGACTTTTTTCTTGTTTTATTCGTAAGATTTCATTGAATGTTTACAAAGAAGCTCTTTTATTTTTTTTTTAACTGTTACTGTTGATAATATTTTCGTCGTAATGTAAGATAACAAATATATTCTTGATCCAATTCTTATCTATAGATGTCACCTATTATTAGTTTGTTTATTTCTTTTGATTTTCATTGTTCTCAATTGGTTTATAAATTCTTCCAGTGTTATTTTTTATTACGATGTTTCTTTTCCTTATTGCTTTCTATCCGCAAAGTCCTTCACTTATATATTCAAGAAAGTTTTTTATATTCAATTTCAGATAATTATTCTTAACTTTGTATTGAATTATCCATAATAAACTATGCATGCACATTTTGCCCAACCACATCAGGTTTGGTTTTTTTTTTATTATAAATATTTTAATATATATTTGATAGTTCTTATTTTGTTTTCTTAAAGGCAGCTGCAGCGGTAAGAAATTTTCTTTCTTGAAAAAGAATATATTTTATGATAAGTTCATAAATAATAATATTATTGAAAAAAAAAAACAGGCAGCTGTAGCGGCAGCAATGGTTGTGTCAAATACATCATCAACTTCTTCTACATCTGAAGCCCATGCACTAACACCTGTTCATCATACTGCAACAAAAACTGAATGGATGGAAGCTATTGAACAACAACGTTTAGAAAGATCAACACTTAATCGATTGATTATTAATTATCTTGTCACTGGTAAAATTAAATAAGAAGTTTTTTTTTTTTTTGCATTAATAAATTTTCGTGTTTATGTGTGTCATATAGAAGGATTTAAAGAAGCAGCAGAAAAATTTGCTGAAGAAGCTGGTATATCATTGAATAATATAGATTTAACATCATTAGATGAACGTTTAAGAATTCGTGAAGCTATTGAAAGTGGAAGAATTCAAGAAGCAATCAGTTTAATTAATACAAAAGCACCTGAATTACTTGATCAAAATCGACAATTAGCATTCCATTTAAAGGTATTCAATCGTAGCAGAATATAAAACATATTTTATTTAAGATATACATTCATTACGGGCTACATTTTTATATTTGATAAATACTCAAATCATAGAGAAAAAGAAAGTTTATTCAGTTTAGTAAAGATAAAATAAATAGGTCACAAGTATATGAATTATTTCTCTTATAATGGAAACTCTACGAGCGTGACGCACTGATTAAGTTGATATATATATCTCATAAGTAGATATTATTGAGACTAGGAGTTTAAAAGGATTCATCTCTATATGTTGTTCTTCTGAAGTTATGAATTTTCACCCATAGATAGATCTTATAGACATTGAAATATTCTAGAAGTTTTATCTAAAAAGAATATTTTTTTCTGTAGATATTGGATATCGAAAAAAAACAATATGTGTCACAAGAAAAGGTCAAAACATGGTGTGTCTTCAGCATGTAATATTTCAAGAACAAAATATTCTAATCATTATAGAATCTATCTATGGACAAGAATTTCATAATTAAATATTTTGTCTGAGGGAGAAAACCAATCATAACTCGAGAAGAACAGTGTACGAAAGAATCTATTTGTAGAAAAAATATCGACACATCACACTTCGAAACTTTCTCTTATTAATAGATCGTGTTCGCATGAACAGTTTTTTTTTCATTAATCAAAGATTTTTTACGTAACGAAAAGTTTTTTTTATTGTCGAAAACTAATCTTTATCTTTGGTTATTTGTGAATTAATCAGGTTTCTTAATGTTTATTTATTTGATAAGTTGTTTATTAAATGATTTTGTTGTTGATAGATACTTGGTATGAGATTGTCCTTGTAAAAAAATAGTAAGACGAAAAAAAAAGAAATTGATCAAGGTCGTCTATGTCTATCATAATAATATATGAAGTTTCGAAAGGTGTGTATGCTTTTCTCTATAACAATGGTTAACAGATGTCAAATAAATTATTTTTTTTTTAAGTTTCTTTTGTCTTATTTTACTTTGTAATTGATCAATAAAATAAAAGAATTTATTTATTTATTTTAGCAACAACATTTAATTGAATTAATACGTTTAAATTTAATAGATGAAGCATTAACTTATGCTCAAATTCATTTAGCTGAATTTGCAGAAGAAGAAATAAAAATGCGACAAGAATTAGAAAAAACGATGGCATTACTTGTTTTTGATAAACCATTAGAATCTCCTTATGGTTATTTAATGCAAATATCCCATCGACAACAAGTTGCGAATGAAATAAATAGTGCGTTACTTATTTATCAAAATGACGAATCAGAATCCGATTTATCAATGCTTGTTCGAATGGCTACTTATATGCAAGAAAAATTAGACAGTAAACAATTACGTTATCCTAAATTGGTTGATATTGCTGGAGGAAAATTAGAAGACTCATAAAATAATTCTTTCTTTTTTTTCTTTTTTGTCTTGTCTTTTCTTTTCTTTTCTTTTCTTTTTTTGAAATGTATAAATTCATTTGATAATTGTTTCAAAGAAACATCAATTAACACCTTTAATAATTGAAGATTTTATTAAATAAGAATAGAATATTGAATCTCAAAATTTATAAAACAATGAAATTTTTAGATGTCAATTGATTGGACAACTAAAGAAAAAATTGTTTTAATATCTAATATACTCGAATATGGTGATCAAACAGAAAGTTGGTCATCAATATCAAATGATCTTTCAAGAGTATTTCAAACAAATATTATTTTATCACAAACAAAAAGAGAAGGACGTTATTCAATTAAAGTTTGTTTTATTTATTTCTTTTTCTTTATTTCTTTATTATTAAATTTATTTATTTAAATATAGAATTGTAAACAAGAATATAAATATCTTGTTAATCGTTATAAATCTCAATGGATTGAAAATGGATCATTAAATGGTTTAAAATTACCTTTAGCAAAATATATTTGGATACAATTAAAATCTATTTATCAAACGGAATTAACACATCAATTAAATGAAAGTAGAAAAAAATTAACTGAATTTTGTCTTAGACTAGAATCAGTAGTTAATATTAAATCTAATACAATAGAATCAACACCTACGTATGTTTTCAAATTAATTAAAATTACTAAAATAAAAAGAAATTTTCTTTTTTTTTTTTGTTTTGTTTTTTAGATCATCAACTATAGAGATAACAACTTCTCTTGATATTCCTCAAGAAAATGAACCACAAGAAGAAAAAACTCCAACAATTGAAATTATTTCTCAGGTGATACTAATCAATATTTTAATCTTTATTAATAGATTATTCAGTAAATTTTCGACAAATTAACGGTTAGCTTTAATCCTCATTATGACTAGTGTTGTATACGAATAGCACTTCTCGCAACCAGACCTAACCTGTAGTTAGTCAACATTGAGCAGATACCTTTAGAGTTACAGTATAACTTTCAACCTTCTATTTTATATGAAAATGTATATTATTTAGTTTCTTCCATAAATAGCCAAAAAAAAAAGAAAATCAAATCCAACCTCGATAACTTGTCTTTCTCATGTTCTCAGTCGAACACACAGAAATCAATGAGATTCTGGTATTTAAAAATATTTTTACTTTTTCAAACTGCTAATTTATATAAAAGTGAAAACCAGAGAAATTTATTGTACTTGAGAAGACGATACAGAACATGAAGGACGATATTGTTTTACTAAAAGAATTCGTATCTAATGATTATTCATCTACAGATGATGATAATGAATCATAAAAAAACTAGATATGTGTATTATCGTGATAGAAAAAGCATTTGCATATGTATCGATAATAATGAAGTTTTGACACCAACACTGATTTCGATTGCCAGTGTTATAAGCAACAAGGAATCGTGTATTTAGCAAAATTGATCCAATTTTAGAAATTGAAAGATACCAAGAGAATGTTGAAACTACGGAAAAAAAAGTTGATCCAAGCGAAACTAAAGATTATAGTTAAATATTCTATGATTGTAAGCGAAATATCTTATAAATCATATGAATGAGAACATAATTGAATAGAGATGACCGAAAAAAAAGCACTAGTCATCGACTAAATTAATCCACAGAAAAAACGAATATTGGAAAATCTTTTAAATATGATACCAAGAAGTATACATCTTTAGTCGTGAGTTTACATAAAATGACAATAAACACAGAATTAAAGATCTTAATAAACCTTGCTGACACACTTTTTCCTATGGAAAAATGCATTGTTCTATAGTTTTCTTATTTGTTAACATGACACAGATTGATCACTAAGTTTCATTCAGTTAAATAAAATTGTGATAATATTTATTGAATTCTATTGTTTATTCATTAAAAATAAAATAAAATATATTAATATATTTTAGTCAATCAAAACAGAACCAGATATACTGCCGAGTGAACCTATAGAATCAACATTACCCAGTGAACCAAATATTGGTCAGTAAATAATACATGTTATTGCTAATTTACTTGATTTAATTAATTGTAGCTCTTGAAGTATTCGATGATTCGAAAGAACAAATAATAACTCCAACACCTCCTCCTGCAATTGTTGATGAACCACAAATAAAAGAAGATGTACAAAGTGAAATTTCTAATGAACCTATTGTTAGTGAGAATAATTATCAAGATTCATCCACAACTTCGCCAAATCCAAAACAAAATCCACCGATTATTGAAGAAGATATTCCAGAACAAACACCAATAGATTCTCCTTCCCAAAATCTTTCATTGGATCAACAATCATCCATTTCTCAAACAACAATTTCTATTCCTTCATTACTACCTTCAACCAGTACAACAATAACAACAGCACCACCACCACCAACAACAACAACAACAACAGCACCACCACCACCAACAACAACAACAACAGCACCAGTAACAACAACAATGCCAGAATCAGTTTCATCATCCAGATCAACATCAAGAACAAGTTCTGAAACAAAAGCAGATGTTATTAAAGTAAAACGAAAACAAAAATTCTTTTTTTTTGTTTTTAAATAATTAATGAAAATATATATGTTTAAAGATAATTCCAATAACTACACCCAAATATCATGTTTATTTTTCTCCAAAAAATTCAATTAATAATAATCTTGGAACAAATAAAACAAAATTAAAACGAAAAACAATTGATGAAATAAAAGATGAAAATGAAATTGAAACAACAAATCAACCAGATATATCTTCTTCATCAACAGAACAATCAAAAGTATCATCATCAACTGCTCCAATTACTCGCCGTTCTATAAGTACACGTTCAGTACCAAATACTGCTGCTGATCAAGAAGAAGAAAAAGCAAGAAGGTTTTATTTATAAGAAAAAAAAATTCTTTTATTTTTTTAAAAAACTATTAAATTTGATTCAGATTCTCAGTAATGCTTTCTGAAAATCCAAATAGTTGGCAATCACAATCAATGTCTATTATTCAATTTATTCTTGCACATAAGTATTGAAAAATAGAAATATTTTTGTTTTTTTCTCTTAGATAATTAAATTGATTTTTTTGTTAGACAAGGATATTTATTTGAACATGAAATAACAGAAGAAATTGCACCGAAATATCATCAATATGTTCGACATCCAATAGCTCTTGATACAATTCGAAAAATACTTGAATCAAATGGATATCAATCAAAAGAATATTTTAAACGTGATATTTATCTAATGTTATATAATGCTATGAAATATAATCCACGTTATCATCATGTTCATCGATCAGCTAAACATATTTTCAATCTAACAGTTCCACTTTTTAATGTAAGATTTTCATTTACATTACTTACAACAAGTTTTGATATCAGATAAAACCTACATCAAATTAAATAATTTTTCATCATATTTTAACTAGAAATAGAAACCATAATTGCAAGCAGCAATCTGAAGTCGATAAATCTTAATTTAAATGATTTACGATGAAAAAAAATGATTTTTTCCTCGAGTCCAAAAAAAACCTTTTTTTATCACATTTCTGTTTTTTCATTATTAAATTCATTTCTTTTATTAACAAATAAAAATTCGCATGTCAACTCAGCATGCATTTTTTTTCCATCGATGGTTTTTGCGATCATGAAATTCTCAGAGAAAACTTAATTAGAGCAGAATACTCACTTAAGAATATGTCAAGACAAATAGTTAAAATTAACTGAAGATAAAAGATACTTATCGATGATTTCTGTCTTATTGAACCGTCGGTCTAACGTCGTGAAATTTGTTTTCTATGTTAAGATATTCTCATGTACATAAAAAAAAAAGATTCTATATTGACTTTTGAGTTGTTCCGCGTGGAAGCCGATTAAATCCTTGTGATAAGAGTTGAATCTTTTCTATTTTCTGTCAAACTATGAGACTAAACAATTAAAATTTTGATAGTTTTTACTTGATAGGGGAACATATCTTAACTGTTGTATTTATTTATTTATTTTGTGCCTTTAATTAGTTATCAGCACAAGAAATTAATGGGCAAATGACAACAAAAATGAATATATCATTACCGACTACTACGAATGATATTCCACCTGCTAAACGAAAACGAACGAAAGTATGTTTTAATAAATAGAAAATTATTTTTTATTTCTTAATCATTTGAATGTATTTTTGTTTTAGTGATAAATTATGCTTATGATATGGATTTAATTCTATAACACATAAAGCAATGTCTTACTCGCTGTGAAAAATTTATTTTCTCTTTAAAATGATTAAAATAAATCATTAAAACTTATCTGAATATGATCTTTTAAAAGACTTTGATTTTCTAATTTTTGTTCTTATAGAGCTTAAATTACTTGTTGTTTTTTTGTTGTGTTTCACTTGTTGAATCATTGTTCAAAACATTTTGTCGCTGACATAAAGAATTTTTTTTTTTTGAAAAAAAAAATTATCTTTTCAACAGCAATTATCTATTTTTGATAAATATTTATTCTTTTATTATCTATTTTGATTATTTCAAGTTATACTATTTGAAACAATCAATGATTTTCTAAAAGAAATTCATCTTCCTATATTTACATCAAAATTGAAAGTTCAATTCTAATAAATAATATTTTATATTTGAATATCTCACATTCAGATTTACAAACTATTTTATTAACGAGTTCTGTGTTATTGCTGATAATCTTTCAAAAATACACAAATATGAATAATTAAATATTTGAAAAGATTTTCAATAATTGAAATCAAAATTTAAGTTTTATACTACTGTGTCTCATCATAGACTTGTTTATGTACAGACAAAATCAATATAATATTAAACCACGGTTGAATATAAAATGAGGTATGAGTGAAGATAAAATTCATACACCACTTGTATTTATTGAATCGTATTAATATCGAAAGAAATTACTTTATTTATCAAGAAATAAATGCGAAAACATCGGATTTAAATCCGAGTGTTATGTGTACTTCAAAAAGTGAACAGGTATATTCACTTTATTTTTTTATCATCTGAGACATATCTAGTCAATTTGCTTTCTTCAAGCAGTTTTTATGCATTTTTAGACCTTTTTCAGGGGATGTTTTATTAGAAAGCTACGATTTGGTTCAAAACTAATATCAGATTCGGAATCAGCGTTAAAAACTGAGTCGATTTATATATGTTGTGAATAATTCGGAGAAAAAAATTTCTTTTTTGAAAAAATCCCTGTACCCCCTCTCAGGTATGGTCCGGCCAATAATGACAANTCACAATTTTTTCGATAACTCAGCCATTTCTTGGCGGATCCTCCTCATCTTCGAACTCGACCGAGATATTGTCAAGACTAAGCTGTGTAGAAAATTTCATCGCAATCTGACTCTCCTTTCGAAAGTTATCGTGTAAACGGCCGGACGGACACACAGACCGATTTTAGTAGTGTACTCACTTTTTGAGTACACAAAAACAAATGCATTGAACATTTTCTTTCCAATACATTAAATAAAATAATAAAACTAAAAACAAATTTTCTTTAACGTTCATCCGATATTTTCGTTTATTATTATTTTCATGATCACGTCCTCAAGTATAATCTATAATATATATATATGTATCTCGTTAAACAGAAGTATTACACAACAAGACCAAAACACAGAAGAACTGTTTCTGGTAGCAAAAAAAAATACATAGATATCATCACCTATATTCTAATGAAATGAAATACAAAAAAAAGAAGAAAAAGAAAACGTATACTGAATAGAAAAGAAAAACAAAAAACAAAACAAAGAGTAATATTCATTGTTCAAGCCTATTTATCATTTCAAGTAATAAACACACACACACACAAAATAAGATAATATAAAATGTTATATTTACATAAGAATTCTTATAGATAATATCGATGATAGTTATTTGTTGTTGTTGGTCGTGTAGGTGTCGATGAAAGTGATGAAAAACCTGATAAATGTTGTCGACGAGCTGTAGGTGGTGTTGAAAAACCTAATGATTGATAATGATTATTTATTACACGATGTGATCGATCACTTGAACTAGTTGTTTTCCTAGAAACAAACAAACAAAAATATTATTCAAAAAAAAAACAAAGATGTTTTTTGTTTTTGTTACCAATTCGAACTAGTTAATGAATGTTCTTTTGATGATCCAGATGTTTTTTGTTTTGGTTTAGCAAAATTAACCTAAAATAATAATCATTTAAATAAATAATTCTTTAATTTTTGTTTTATTTTTCTTACAACTAATCGTCGTCCATCGACAATTTCTCTATCCATACGTCGTTTAGCTTCAAGTGCATCTTTTTTTGCAAGAAATGTTACAAAACCAAAACCCTTTATAAAAAGAAAAAGAAAAAGAAATTTGAAATAATTAATTAAATTAATCTTAAATTTACTTTCGAACCACGTTCATTATAAACAACTTCAACATCAAATGTTGTTCCATATTTCTATATTAAGAAATAATAATTAATTATTTTAAATATTTAAATCAATCAATACAAACTCCAAAAACTTCAGCTAATTTTTCTTTTGACCATGTAAATGGAATATTTGATACATGTAAACGTAATGTACCATCGTCATCATCATCATCATCAAATATATTTAATGTTGATGATGGATTATTCTAAAATAGAATGAAATTAGAACAAAAAACAAAATTTTTTTTCTTTTCTTTTTTTTGTCAAATCTTTACAGTTCGAGCAGGTGATGGTCGTTGAATTGGTGTTACAGTTTGTTTTTCATCTTTATTTAAATGAGAACGTATTCGATTTTGTAATTTTTCAGACCAGTTTTCTGTTTTATTTCCACAATGACAACATTTCTAAAAAAAGCGAAAAGAAATTTTTTTTTTCTTATTATTAAAAGAGAAAAAGCAAAGATTTACACATGGTTGATGTTGTAATGAAGAAGAAATATTTGATGACCATAATGGTGGATCAAGATCAATATTAGAAAATGCAGATGAAAGTGACCATCCAATTGGTGCTAATGGTAAAACTGGTGAATCTGAATCTGTTGAACGAGTTGGTGTTGGTGAAAATAATCTTTGTACTGGAGATTGAGAACATAAAGATTGAGATGATGGCCACAAATCACCATCCTAAATTAATTTATTTTTTTTTAATAAAATAATTAAAAATAATAAATTTATACATTAAAGCTCGAACAGTAGCGCGAAATATCGATGAGCGTTGTTGATAAAATATTATCTTCCATTAGATTCGATTTGCCCAAACACAAATAAAGTTGACTTTTTTCGTCGTTTTGTGTCACTACAACTTCGACGATGATGGAAAATGATTATACATATTTACATTTCGTCCGACGTGAACGTTAACCAGATGAATTATGCACTCATCAGAGAAACGAACAAAAAAATCTAGGGATCAACAGTTAACTTCATATAGACAAAACAAATCTGACATAATAAAAGTCATCGTTTTCTTTTTTTATCATATTTTTATTGACAGATTTACTTAAATGATTAACAAATGACATATTAAAATATTTCCAGACGAAATTTATTTATTGAAGAGATCGTTTTTTGATAAAAATTTACAGAAAATTTCGTTTAACTATGTTTTATTAAATTTCAAATTTATTATTTTTTAATTTAATCGATTTAATTAAAATGTTATTTGTTTAGTTTTAAAAATAAATTATTTAGAAAAAAAATATCGTTCTTGAAATCGAAATGTTTTCATTTGGTTTAATTGTCTTGTGATTTTTATCGAATGAATTTAAAACAGATAATTGAAAAGTTTTTAGATCAAATATTTAATCAGTTAAAAGATATTTCCAAAGTCAAAAGAGCTACTCTACAAAATGCATTATTTCAAGTTTTATTTTCGACAAAGAATCTTAATTTTTATATTTCATAAATATTCATTTTTCAAAAATTGACAAACATTTTACGTTGCAAGAAACTCTTGAAAAAAAAAAACTACTTGTAGCTTCAATTGAATAAAAACTATAGATTAGTTCAATATCAAATTTTGAAGAAAAGTGTTTACTCTACGAAACAATTAACTCCGATAATTTCTCATATATTCAAAAAGGAACTTCTACGGTTAACAAAAATTTATTGACTTATTATTAAAACGAACTTTTAGGTCTTTCAAAAAGTTCGTCACTACTCTAGAAACAAAAAAAAAGACACAAAATTTCTAAGGTCATATTCAAATTCTGATTGCGGCCTATAGTTTTTTTGTTCGTCTGAAATTTTTTCAAATAAGTCTAAATGAACAAACATGTTCACTAAATATTTCAACCAATAGTTTTTGTCTAAATTAATTGTGTTTTGGCTTTTTAAAAGTATTTCATTACTCTCAAACAAAAATTGAGACAACATTAATAAGCTTATATTTGGAAAGAGCACAAAATTCTTGTTCCGAACTCACCGGAAATACTTCCTAGTGGGTTAAAAGTGAACAAACATCCTGTATAAAAAACTTGCCCGATCATGCGCTATTTATAAGTAATTCAATAAATAACCAGGAAATTATATTAATTCATAGAAATCTCTACTCTATACTCACAATGACGAATTCTATTGAATCATTAGAAACAATATTTTATTTAATCATAAAACTTTCAAATTAAGTGAATTAACATTTATAAAAATGCAATGTCACTTAAAAAATCTTTATAATCTTTAAAAAATTTTTTTTATTATTTTGAATTAACTATATGATTTAATTTAAAATATGTGTATGAAAAAAATGAATTAAATAAATAGTATTCTTTCTAATGCATGTATTATATATGTTATTTTGTTAAAATGTTGATGAATAAATGAGACGTAACTATTATGTCATTGACAACAATTTGAAGAAATTTGATTAGCAACCCCGACAAACATTAATGCCATGAAATTTCTTCTGTTCTCTTTCTTTTGTTTCTCTTTCTTTTTTGCTGCTTTTATTATAAATGAAGTAGATGTGAAAGAAAAGTTTTAAATGGCAACAACAACAACAACACCTCCAACAGCCGCTGCTATTGCACGTGGCAATAGTCTTCATTCAAGTTTAGGTACTGTTGCTCCATTAAATACACCAACACGACGTTTTTATGGTCCACAAGATCAAGCAGAAGTTCAACCACCAGGTGTACCTAATCCTAATATATATGTTGTACAACCATTTAAAAATGCCTCTCTACCTAAAGATTTTGTTTATGCTAAAAAAGTAAATTATTTTTATATTTATTATTAAAAAATTGTTAATTAAATCTTTAGAATGCACCTAATCCCGGTGAAAATTTACTTAATTCAACTATAGAACTTATTAATCATTTTACGTCGTGTTATGAAACAGTTAAACATCAATTACAAGATGAACATACAAAAGAAAGAGAAAGTGTCTTAAATAGTAGGTCAATGACAGCGACTGGAACTAATTATACTATTAGTAGAAATGCTCTACATCGACCTGCTAAACAAGCTAGGTTAATTTATTTTAAATAATATAGAAATCAATAAAAATAACATTTTCATTTATACAATTAGACTTCGACCATTAATTTTACATCAAAATCAACAAAGTCTTGGAGATGATCGAGGACCATCTATTCAAAATTGTGTTGGCATTTCACCAGGTACTTTTATCAGAAAGAAGAAAAAAAATCGAATATTTAATTAATTTTTGTTTTTTCCTATTAGTACCAGTAACAAAAGCGGATGATCTCGTTAAAATTTATGATGAAAAACTTCGTTTATTACGTAAATTAAAACCTGAATTATTCGATGGTCAAGGTAATCTTATATGTCGCAATCCTCAAAGATCCTATTCATATAGTCAAGCATCAATACCGTCTTCTAAAAAGTAAGAAAAAAAAAAAAACAAAATAATTTTTTTAATGATAAATAAACAATAATTTATTTATATATACAATAGATCAGCTGCATCATCATTTCGAACTCCACATAATACACTTTTAACAGCTGAAAGTAAATATTATTTAAATGATTTCTAGATAGAAAATATTTTAACAAATAAATTTAGATATTCCATTTGATGATCGTCGAACATTTTTAACTGAATTTACAAATGAAGAAGAAGATAATGATAATAATAATAGTGAAGAGAAAGAAAATTCAATACATTTTATGTCAAATCAACAAACAAATTCATTAAATGAAATTATGAAAAATAATTATGTTCTTAAAGTTCTTGAAATAAAAACAATGTCAACTGCATCATTAAAACATAATCGAACAAAATCAGCATCTGATAAAGGAAGTTTTTATTCATATAAAGGAAATGCAACTGCTAAATCAGCATAAGATTTCAAGAAAATAAATAAGTTGTGATCATATTTTACATTTTATTTTTATTTTTATTTTATTAAACAATTTTAATTTGAAAATAAATCAAACAATATTATTTACTTTATCAACAAATTTATTAAGTTTAATTATTTAACTAAAATTAAAATTTTATATACTAGAAAAATAATTTTCTTTTTAATTGACTACATCGGATTTTTTTTCCTTTTAATAATATTTCAATTCAATGCAAAGACTTCTCAATACCGCTTCGTCAAGAGTCAAAATGGTGAATTCACAAACAGTGACAGCTGTTATTATTTTATGATATTTTACCAAAGGAGTTCAAATAATGTATTTTAAAAAAATTCTAAATAAATAAATGAATTAAAATAGACGCTCGCTAAAATTTTAATATTTCAAAAATATTTACATTTGAAATAACTATTCTACCAATTTATAAGATTCATTTAGCATTTTTATACTGAGAAAAACTTATTTTCATTGTTAGATACATCTTCAATATATAACTTCTTTTCTCCAAACAATTTTACATAGGATAGGAAGTAGCAGAATTTCATTTTCTTCTTCGTCGTTTCAACCACCATATTAGCCCTCGTGACACATTGATTTAATCGTTTGATAAGTTTCTGAACATATTATTCTGTTTTTGATGAACTTTGACCCATACTGTTGAATTTTATCTAACTTAGAATATACAATAAGTTCCTTTCACTGCAATAAATATCGAAACCAACAGTATTTAGATAAGTTCGAATTCATAGAACTCTTGAATGATCTATGGCTTTTCTTCTCTCACTCCAAGTTGCTAGGACCTACGGAAATGAGTCGCCAAAGTATCGATTTAAATTTACATTCATTATTTTCTTCGAATAAACTCACAAAACTTTATTTAATTTGACAAAAGAACTACAACAAAAAATTTGATGTTGCTATAAGAGTTCACATAAATATTGAATAATATCGACGATTATAATAAATCTAATGACTTTTTCAAATGCCATGTATTACCAAGATGTTCTATTGTTAGATTACGTATATATGTAAACTTTTTCAGATCACAACGTACTGATAACCATCCAAAATCGTCTCCAAAAAGAACACCACCAGGTCGTAATATATTCCAATATAAAGCTAATTCAATTAATGTTTCACCTTGTTCATGTGCTGAATCAAGATAAATAAGTTGTGGACGAAATTGATATGTTTGAAGGAAACGTGCACCAATTATAGATGACATTGATACAGGTAAAACAATGTTTGTAAGATTTTGTTCCATAATATTAGCAAGAAATTGATAGTAGACAGTAGGTCGTCCATCTTCGGTAACTGCCAAATGATTCCAAACAACTTTGTTCACCCACATATTCAAATCTAATAAAGATATGCATAAATTCACAAACAAAACAATCTGCTTCATTGAGAGATGTGCACTTTTAAATATCAGAGTTCAGTGATTTAAACAAAAACTGAGATCGAGAGACGAACCGGAACTAGAGACCTGCGGAGGACTCCGAAACCCGATTCCGACTCCGACTCCGACTCCGTCGGAGTCGGAGTCGGGTTTGCTGAAAAAAATTTTTCGGGTTCGGAGTCGGAGTCAGTTACAAGTTCGACTCCGATATTTT